GCAGCAGCAGCAGGCGTGTCCCCGTGACCTGCTGCAGCCTTCGCTGCCTCTGGGGGCCCCACAGGGGCCCGCAGCTGCTGTCTCTATAGAAATTGCAGACAAACCCTAAACCCTAAACCCTAAACCATAAACCCTAAACCCTAAACCCTAGAGTTTAAATTAGCTCCTCCGTTGGAAAGGCAGAGTTGAGAGAATGCAGGAAACTGCTGCTGCTGCAGCAGCAGCAGCAGCAGCAGCAGCAGCTGCTGCAGCGCCAGCGAATGCTGCAGCAGCAGAAGCTGTAGCAGCAGATGCAACAGGAGCTGCTGCTGCTGCTGCAGCAGAAGCTCCCGCTGCAGCAGCAGCTGCTGCAGCAGCTGCAGCAGCAGCTGCTGCTAGCCAGGGGCCCCACATCTTTGCTTCCTTCACAGCTGCCTATACACCCGATTGTGTTGAGTCCTGGAGCCAGCATGCTGCCTCTTGTCTTGCCCGTCGTTCTGCTGCTGCTGCTGCTTCTGCTGCTGCTGCTGCTGCTGCAGCAACAGCAGCAGCAGAAACAACCGCGGAAGATCCGTTACTGGCTGCAGGAGACGAACGCCGCAGCAACAGAAGCAGCAGCAGCAGCTGCAGCAGCAGCAGCAGCAGCAACAGCAGGAGCAGCAGCAGCAGCAACAGCAGCAGCAGCAGCAGCAGCAGCAGCGATCTGTTTGTTGTGGGGATGTATCAGTACGAGGAGACCACCAAGCTTCGGCGGGGTGGACTTTCTTTCTTTAGCCTGCAGCAGCAGCAGCAGCAGCAGCAGCAGAATGCAGCAGCAGCAGCAGCAGCAGCAGCACCTTCTGTTCGCTGTCTTCTAGAATATTCAACAGACTTCGGGTGTCTAGACACCCGGTGGCTGTGTGCTGCAGGTGGCTGCTGCTGCTGCAGCAGCAGCAGCAGCAACGACGGGCTCCCCGTAAGGTCACTGGCTCCTGCTGCTGCTGCTGCTGCTGCTGCTCCTGCTGCTGCTGCCGCTGCTGCTTCTAATTTTGGTGTTGCTGCTGCTGCTGCTGCTGCCGTCCGTGTAGGGCCGGCATCAGCAACAGCTGTAGCTGCTGCTGCTGCTTTTGCTGTTGCTGCTGCTGCCGTTCCTGTTGCTGCTGCTGCTGCTGCTGCTGTTGCTGTAGCTGCTGCTGCTGTTGCTGCTGCTTCTGCTGCTGCTGCTGCAGTTAGAGTTTGATTCTCTGTTGGCCGTCATCGGCTCTGACTGCGCCCTGCATGCATTTCGGGTGTCTAGACACCCCAAAGACGAGGAGGAAGACAGCAGCAGCAGCAGCAGCAACAGCAGCAGCAGCAGCAGCCTCAGCTGCAGTGCTGCAGCTCGTGTGCCGCTGCTGCTGTCACCAGGCAGAGACCACATAGGACTGAGTCTGGACCCTCTCCATGAGCAGCCCCAGTATGCTGCTGCTGCTGCTGCTGCTGCTGTTGC